TTTAATCACTGAGTGTACATGTGGACTTGAATGAATAGAAAAGCAAAGCTCTGATATTTTCCTAACATTAATTAAATTCATAAACATGTAATAAGGGATCAGAAGCAAGGTATTAAAAATGTATTCTTTAAACCCAGGATGTCTATGATGACCCAAGTTCAAAGAATAAAGTTTCCGTCTACTGAAAGATGTCTCCTTTGTAATTTTTATACCATTAAATCCTGTTAATTTAAGCTTTGTATCTAAGAACTGTCCAGTAATCAATTTTCAGAATGAAACCCCATGTGTGAAATGGGGACACAAAGAAAAAATGTCAACTAAATAAGATCAGTGATTGTCTTCAAAGGAAAGAAAAAAAGAGAAGGATGCAGTAATAGACTTTTCAAACATGAACTGGAAGACTGTGAAAATGTCAATCTCTGGTAAAAGATTGATTGATTAAACAATTTGTATCTATAAATTAGTAGATAAAAGAGAAAAAGACACAAAATTAGGATATAATAAGAAAGTTATCAATGTGCAATGTCATTGCCGATAAAGGAGAAAGATTAAAAAACAATTACGACACGCTGTGCAGATCAGGAAGTTTCACTTCCATTCATCCTGCAGTAATCAGCTCATAGCTTGCTGAGGACACGCCAACTGTTCTGTTGTTCCACGTAAACACCATTTAAAATTAATAAGAACGAAAGTGAAAAGGAGAGTCTGAACCCTGCGGAAAATGTTCTCTGGCAGTGATCTTCAACCTTTTTCATCTCATGCCACTCATCTCATAAACTAATTACTGAAATTTTGCAGCACATCAAAATATATATATATGTTTTTGCCATGCTGACAATAAAAACATAGATATAATTATGATTCATTCACACTGGATGGTTATTGTGTTGGCTGTTGCCGTTTTTAAAAAATTGACAATCTAAGGAAAAAGAGGTCAGTGCTCCTTAACTGAATAGTTAGACTGTGCATGTTTTAAAAAATATTGTGGCACATGGGTTTAAAATCGCTGCTCTGTGAAATATTTAGCACCTTTAAAACAAAAGAATCACACACATTCTGAAATTGATAGAATCCTAAGATGTTGTAATTCTTTGTTATTTTTTAAAAAATAAGACCTTTTCCTTTCTAAGAATGATGCTTATCTATATTATTCAAAACCAGATCTAGGTAGGAAGATTCCAAAATATTTCTGCATAATCAATTTTACCCTAAAAAGATTATAAAATCTCTGTATTTTATTTATTTTTCATCTTTCAATGTATTTTAGAGTAAAAGAGTTTATTTTTTGTTTTTGAATTAGATTGATGATATATTATTCAGTGTGCTATAATCTCCATTTTTTCTTTGGTCTAAATAAAAATACAAATTATAAGTGAATGTAGATCTTTAATATATATTTTCTCCTATGATGATATAAAAGGTCAATAAATATTACATACAAGTGATATTCAAATTTTTGCAATATATCAAAATTGATTTATCTGTATCACCACTGAAGAGTCAAATTACTTGCAATTAAAAGACCTGCCCTGTTTGACTCAGTGGTTAAAGCGTCAGCCTGCGGACTGGAGAGTCCCAGGTTCGGTTCCTACTAAGGGCATGTACCTCAGTTGCAGTTTGTCCCGGCCCCAGTTGGGGTCATGTGGGTGGCAGCCACTCAATGTGTCTCTCTCACACTGATGTTTCTCTCTCTCTCTCTTCCTTCCTCCCGCTCCATCTGAAGATAATGCAAAAGTGTCCTCAGGTGAGGATTAAAAAAAAAAGACATTTTACCTAGGAGCAAATATTGGTTTATATTATATTCAAGAAATTAAAAGTGATAAAAGACAGTATGTTCTTTTTTTTTTTTTTTTATCCTCACCCGAGGATATTTTTCCATTTTTTGTACAGATAGAGTGGGAGGAAGAGAGAGGAAGGGAGAGAGAGAGAGAGAAACATCGACGTGAAGGGACACATCGAGTGGCTGCCACCCGCACGACCAACCAGGGCCGGGGACAAACTGCAACCGAAGTACGTGCCCTTAGCGGGAACCGAACCCGGGTCTCTCCGGACCGCAGGCCGACGCTCTAACCGCTGAGCCAAACTGGCCAGGGCAAAAGACAGTATGTTCTAAGTGATATTTTTGTGTGTGTTTATCAATCATATTTTGGCACAGAGAGGAGGAAGAAATATAAAATTCAATGTCCTTAGAACATTTCTAGAACAGACTTTTCTGCAATAATTTGCTTGTATTCAAAGATAATTTCACAAATTTGCATTAGTTTTGGGGAACATTTCTTCATTAGTTTTTCTTTCCTTTTTTTGACAAATCTTTATTGAGTTAATTCAGGATACTACAAGAGTGGTAAAATTTTCTTAATCCAGAAAAAAATTGTGATTTATTGCCTTGAATAAAAAGAGAAAAGTCCTTCATGAATCCTATCATTTAGTTTTTGAATAAGTATACTTACATAATACAAACAAAATTAACTAGTCTATGAAAAGTAATACAATGGCCAGAGATGTTTTTATCATGCAAATGCCCCCTGAAATAAAAGAATATGTATTCAACACAATGCATAAACTTTTATTCAAAAAAAAATTGCTGATATAAATCTCAGATTGTTTTTTGGTAAAATTTGTTACCTTTTAAACTATAAATTCCCAGTTTCAGCATCATAGGGTAAAATTTTAAAAAAAATCATATAAATAATGCACAAATTTATATGATGTTTTTAAAAACTAATATATTTCTATAAGAATGCATCTACAAATGTATATCTTACCACATTTTGGATTTAGTTATGCTGAAAATTTAGATTTGTGTCTTAGGTGCAGGTATGATTCCAGTATAACAGTAATTATACTAAAACTTAGTTATTCTTGTGCAGGAAATTCAGGTACATATGGAATTTGTGTGTACATGTGTGCTAAGCTGTATGATCTTTCAGTTACCAAATAATAGGTAGATTGACCTTTCTTTCAAAAACTTTGCTAAATGTTACAAATGTAACAAAATTAATTGTTTTTAAGTCAATTTTATGTATATATTGGGAAAGAAAAAAAATTTTTGAGAACAGTGACTATTCACATCTAGATAAGAAGATTCCAGCTGAATGCCATCAATAAATCCACGTTACCATTACTTAGGTTAAATAAATACTGTGTGCTAAGTCTACAATACAATACTTTTTATATTTGATTTGTCTTTCAATAAACCCGCAAACACACATATTGGATTCTCGACCTTGAGTCATCCCTCCGCTTTTATTCATTTCTCCTAAGTATGGACCCAACAAAGAAAATACCTTCTTATGATCCTAATTCCCTAAATATAAGTGATGCTTCCTGGATTTATTGCAAAGGAAGAATCAACTCACATCTGAGCCAGAAGTAAAGAAATTATATTACAAACCAGCTCTGCAAATGTATCCTAGTTATCTATCATTTAGAAAAGACACATTATCACAAGGTAGTTTTCTTAGTAGTTACAATTCACTCAACTTAATTATCTTTTTTAATCAGACCCTGAGCAAAGTTTTTATGACAAGACTGGTGGAACTAGCTTATCTTCCAGAAATCTGTTGCAAAGGTAGAGAATGCACCCTAGGTGACATCAGAGAGAAGAAGAGATCAGTCAGTGGGTCACCAGATCCCCAGCTTTCTGTCTGGAAAGGCTAGCTGTCCTCCACAGAACACAAACAGCTTCCCAGAGACTTCCTAAAAATGAATTGCTGCTATTTTAACATTAAAAGTAAGCAATGGATTTCTACATATATTCTTAAGAAAACCCCAAACATTCTTACATGACAAGAACTAGAAAAAAAGGAATTTTCAGATACAAAGAGAAAGGATGTTTAAAGGAAGAAGCAATGTTTCATGAAAGTAAATTGTTACTACTATAATTTATCAATACGGTCATAAATCTTTTCAGAATACATATGGAGTATATTGAACAGTGCCTAATTCTGTATATTTATGACTTGAATAGGTGCTGAAGATCAAAAGTAAATGAATAGAACAGTAACAAAATCAATATAAATATTGACTTCCTGACTTTTTTTTTTTTTAATCTTACAGTACATTTCACATATTTGTACAGGTTTAAATATTTCCATGAAGATTTTTCATCAAGTTTCCTATAATTGTCTAACACCAGAACATTTTCAAATCAACAGCTCTCATTACTAAATATCTCTTCTAACAATGGCCTATTCTAGATAAAAAAATGAAAATATGTTTGATGTAGAAATAGAGTACAATCATGTTTCTATTTGTTTGTTTATTTATTTATTCATAGGACAGTTGATTATGCTCAGTTCAGTCGCAGAAAACACCTTCTACAGAAGTTCTTATTGGAGCTCTACCTATTTTATTTTTCTTCCAAATGAAAAATGTACATACATAATACACACATTAATGTATCTATTGGCAAAACATTCAGTAGAATGTATCCATATATACTATGATCGATGTATACAAGTTGAAATCATTCAGAAGCTGAAAATAAAAGCAGTCATTAAAAAGGGCTGGTTATTTCTCAAAACGCTAGTTTGCCAAACTGTGTGCTTTGTATCCATCACCCTCTTAGGCCAGAATGCTAGCTACTAGAATGATCAGTCCCATCCCTCTCGATCCACTCGGCACAGACATAGTCTTTCCCAAATGCTGCAACCGAAGCAGGCAATGGAGAGGAACCAAATGCCAGGTAAAAAACAAAACAAAAAAGCAAAAACCTATATCAGACAAAAATATGGTTAAATTAAAGACAGAATAAGTAATAACAAGCTAATAGTATTCTTGTGAAGTTAGCATGCCTGTGATGAAGAGAAACTGTGTGCTTAACATAAGCACTAACAGGGACAAGGTAAAGCTTAAGAAACACATCAGACATTGAGGTTATCTACTAATACATGTATTGCTTGTCCGATGTTTTGGGATGTGTTTAACTGCCAAATGGTCAGTTCAAGGCAGGACAGAGATCAGCTGCAAAAGTTGACAATCACAGCTTCCTCACTTACCTTCCACTGAGGAGGAAGCCGATAACCACCGCCAACAACATGACTCCCACGGTCACAGACACAGCAATGATAGGAATCTGGCTTTGGTCACTGGATGCTGCAACTGCTGATGGAAGACACGGAAAATGGAGCCTATGGTTAGTGTAATCATATGCATTCAAATAAGAATGGCTTAGTAGTTAGTAATAAATGCATGGTTTAAGCAATCACCCGCCCTTGGCTGAGATTTCCCTCCAATATCTCTTCTCGAAAGTGTGTAATTGAAAAGACATCTTTAGGGAAAAATATTTACTCTTCAAATAAAAATTCCAAAGAATCATGAAGTCACTGATTCTTGTCATTGTAGAAAAATGAGGGTAACTGTTCGCAGGAGGGATCTTAGGTTTGTATGGTAAAATGCAACTTAGCCCTTGATTTCAAACACCTTAATCTAAATAGGAGGTTCTAAGTCTGAGATTTGAACTGTTTAGAATTTGCATGTGGCTGTTGTCTAGGAAAAAAAAAAAGTCTTGTTACCTCAGACAGGACTTTTTCACAAAGTGATGTGACTGGAACCTCAGTGGAGTTAAATATAGTATCACTATTCTGAATATAATTTTAGAGACCATGATTTGAAGCAGAATATGATCAGAGAGGATACTTTATATGTAGGACGACTTTTCAAAAAATACCAAGGCATACACTTAAGAACTTTTAGTCTGCAGTAAGATTACATTCATTTATTTTTTCTTTAAAATACATGCATTTGGTTGAAATAGTTTATATTCTAATAACACAATTACAACAGAAAAATTAATATGGACAGGATTCAATAGTTACACCTACGTAATCAAGAAAATGTTTCTTTGGGCTGATAACTAAACCCAATTAAAATAAGAAACTTATAGAGTAGAATAAATTTTACCAATGTTCTCAGGAAACCCTCAACAGAATACCTAGCATGATTATAGTTTAATGACAATCGTTTGGATTAATTCAGCATGTCATTAATTCACCTCCAAGGTAACAATCGTACGTCATCAAAACTAATAATAACCCTACTTTCCATGTTTTATTTTTTATGACCCTTTCTCAGATCTTGGCCCCAGATATTTGTGGGACCTCCAAACAGTTCCCTTTTCTATTCTCATAACCTGTTCCTTGACTCTTTCTAACCAAAGCTGACTGACTCTTTGATCATATTCTTGCACTGACCAGCCTTCAGAACCCAATATCATCAACAGTTAGTTCACGTAAGAAACAATATTTTTTGCAATCTAAATCTATGATCTTATCCATCTTCTTCTTTGATGATAATAGTTGCAATTCAATAGATCTTCACTCTGTTTTTTTCTTATTCCTTGACACTGAGGTCTGTGGGAGGGATTTTAATGATGGTACGCAATGCAAATAGGGTAGAACAAAGGAACCCCATTATCACTGACAGCTATTCCTAAAATCTGCCTTATTACTCTCTAATCTCAGATTATTTATGCCATTGCTTTTTCTCAACTTTAACTTTCTTTCTGACAGGGGCACTGTTTCTAGAGGAAACCATGCAGACTTGGCCCATAAAAGTTGTTTGGGTTGGGCTCCCACTGCTGTTCCAATGCTTTTGATGCGTATTAATCTTCTAACAGGTTCATCTCCATAGTAAGTCTTCCTCACTTTTTCTGTGCACAGATCCATGACCACCTCTGACATTTTAGTGATGTTAACCTTTATAGACAAAAGAGAGTGAGCAAGTCCACTCTCCACTGTTAAACATAATAGTATAACCTTCAGCTTGACTGACTCCACTGTGGGAGCTCTTGCTGTCTCTCCCCAGATGTTGTCCTTCAACGATCTCCCTCAAAAGGGTTTTTACTTCCTCTCATTCTCATTTCCTTTTTGGCCACTTCTTTGCTACTTGCAAGCCTGGACACATATCTCCTCTTGAGGGAAACAATCCGAGTACCTAAATTTACCGACAATAGTTCAACTGGAATTTGAAAAGAGGTTCAATATTTAATAGACACATCGGCCAACGTAAATGAGTTAACCCTGTAAAGTCTCATTTCCTTAATTTCTAGTTAAGGGTAATTTCCCTGAATGATTCTGGTTGTGTCAAGATGAGAGACAATACACAGAAAGCACGTAGCATAGTGCTTCAACTATTGCCAGGCTCACAATAATGGTAAATACCATTTCTACATATTGTTATCCCCTGTTTTATTTACCTTCCCAACTCTTTCCTATTCTCAGTATCTTACCTGAGTAATCTAGAACTAGCCTCTTCATCTAAGAACCAACTTGATTAAAGTCTCTCTGAAACTTCTCTTCTGCCTTTGAGTTCTACACACAATATAATAGTGTACGTAGAACTAAATGCAATGAATACTTCTCCATTTACCTCACCGTGCACAATACGGAGGTATTTGAGCTTGCTTACCATAGAGCTCATCACTGAAACGCTCCTCCTCTTGGTATATTCTCTTCTTTCCATTCAGAAGCACTGCTTTGGCAGGTCTGTTGGCCCCACATGGTCTTCCCACATCTTATGTGTGAGCAACTCCCGAAAAATAACTGGCTCCTGAACACCCACACTTCTGTCTTCTTTCTTGTCTGCCCTTCTCCCTTCCTACCTCCTTTTAGCCTTCCCTCTCACAAATACTTCTTTGCTCATGGCATCAGTTAACTGTTCGTTGAAGACTGCCAAATTTGTCTCTAACTCTTAATCTCTTCAAAGCATCACTATTTTAAAAAGACGGTTTTCCCTTTATTTGGATTTTATTTTCACATAAAACTAAAGATGTTTAAATTGGCCCTTCTACTACATCCAACCCCAAGAGCCTTAGAAAAAGTACATCAATAAATAAACATATCATAAATCAAAACAACAAACCAGGTTAATTCAATGCCTTTCGGTTTCTTTGAACTCTCACTAAAATTTCTGAGCCCCTGTTTGCCTAACAACTAGCAAATATTTTTGTGCTTCTTTTATTGTTTTTCCCCATGCTTTCCTTTTCTTTTTTTAAAAAAAAATATATACAACATTCACCTATTTGATTCAAATTTGCTAGAAAATATCCACAGATGTTTTAAGGACTAAGGTTTTAAGGTTTAACATTTGTAAAATCAAACTGCTGGAATATGGCTCAGTGTTTTCTTTGCCTTCAATGTACTTGTATAAAATATCCAAAACTGTTGCTTTAATCTTATTTCTCTGATCAAGAAATTAATAGATACCTCCTACCTATATAAAAAAAAATTAAAATAATTGTTAATGGCATCCAAAAAATTTCAAATGTTTAAATTGATACATTTTATAAAATATTTTTTAAGTAATGCCATATACAAATATTCATATTTATATGTTTTTATCTAAAGTCCATTGATATAAAATCTTTTTGTACAATAGACAATTAAATCTAGGGTCTCTGAAGAAGAATTTTTAAAAGTACATTTTTAAAAAAATTTGCAACATTTTCTAAGTTCTATGGTGTGTTTTGTTCTGTTTTTTATTTTTTTTATTTTTTTTTATTTTTTAAATTCTCACCATTGGTGATGCTCTAACCAGTGAGAAATGCCAGCCAGGGCTGGTGGTTTTTCATTATCAACTATTTCACATACTCTGATTAATGTGAATTATTTATAATAAGAAAGGATTCAACAAGATTTGTACCATTTATTCCTTTGTTTGCCTTGACAGCAAGAAAATATCTCAACTAATTAAGAAAAATATGGAATTTATAAGGTATTGATAATGCAGAGGAAATAAGATCATAAGCTCAGCATGATCCATGATTTTCTTTTAAATATATTGTTAAAACTTTTAATCTTTAAAGATATAGCCATGAGTCACTCATATTTTTCATTTTTATCTATGTTTATTAAGAAATGATTTATGATGTAGTTTTGGACAAATAGTTGAGAAATGTTTTGGGAACGATTAAAAGCAAATTTTGTAGCACTGTAACACATTTATTAGAGGAATATTAGTAATGAAAATCAATATTCCTTGTTTTAAAACTTTATTTGTATTGTTGAGACTATTACAGATGTCCACATTTTCCTCTCTTTGCTTACTTCTGCCCAGCTCCTCCCCCCTCCCCCTTCCCCTCTGGCCATCACCCCACTGTTGTCTGTGTCTATGCATCATCATGCATTTACTTCTTTGGCTAATCCCTTCACCTCCTTTCATCAAGTACCCTCTTCTCCCCTCTCCTCTTACAGCTGTCAGTCTGCTCCATGTATCCGTGCGTCTGTTTCCATTTTGTTTGTCAGTTTATTTTGTTCAATAGATTCCACATATAAGTGTGACATAAGGTATGTGTCTTTCTCTGACTGGATTATTTCACTTAGCATAATATTCTCCAGGTCCATCCATGTTGTTGCAAAAAAGTAAGGTTTCCTTCTTTTTGACCGCCATGTAGTATTTCATTGTGTAAATGTACCACAGCTTTTTTATCCACTCTTTTATTGATGGGCACTTGAGCTATTTCAATATCTTAGCTATTGTAAATAGTGCTGCTATGAACATTGGGGTGCATGTATTCTTTTAAATTAGTGTTTCAAGATTCTTAGGAATATATTCCCAGAAGTGGGATTGCTGGAACATGAGGCAGTTCTATTTTTAACTTTTTGAGGAAACGCCATACTGTTTTCCAGAATGGCTGCACCAGTCTGCATTCCCATCAACAGTGCACTAGGGTTTACTCTTCTCCACATCCTCACCAATACTTACTGTTTGTTGATTTATTGATCTTTAACAAATAACAATGTTTCTTTTATTGTCAATCATTATACATCTACACCACCCTCGGAAACCTTAAGGTAGCATATGCAGAAAACTCACATTGTTTCCCCTCACTTTGCTTCCCATTCTCCTGGCTGAAAACCCATATTACATAGATATTCTCTAGACTTCAGCTATATTTTTTAAATGGAAGGTAAGAGATTTTGTTAGAGCCAAATTATAAGGGCTGTTGAAGGCTACATTAAGAATTTGGAATCTGTTTCCCACAGCAATTAGTATCTATTGATTTTCTTAATCAGAATAACATGATCAAAGTTATTTTTGATACATAATGAGTACACAAGATTTAGTGGGTAATTCAAAACAGCATGACAGGCAAATAAAAA